CTTCCCCTCCTTTCTCGCGCTCTCTCTCCCGCCAGCAGCTCCCTTCCCATTCCCTTTTATTCTTATCCTTTGCTCTGCCCTATCTCCCCCTCCCCTCCCTATTCGTTTTCGTGTGTGTCGTCTCCAATTCGGTCTGGGCCAGGCCGGCCGATGCGCTCCTGGGATGCGCTCCTGCATTCGAAGGGCGAGGGGGTTGGGGAACGTGGGGTGAGGGGGGAGTGTGAGTGAGAGAGACAGGATGAAGGGATACGGGGGAGGCGATGGGGCGGAGAGAGACGGGGCGATCATGCAGGCACACGCGCCGTCCCCGCGAGCGAGGCGGAGGGTCGACGGCCTCGGCGGGGGAGGCGGAGCCGCCGCTGTCCTACCCGGGGCGTGGCGTGCCCGGGGCCTCGACGGGGACGAGGTGGGGGAGGACGACGAGGAAGAGGAGGAGGAGGAGAGGGACCGAGCCGTCGACATTTCATACGGTCAGGCTTACCTCCTCTGCCCCCATGCCCTCCTGGTCATTTACAAGCCAGTTCCATTGTTCGTGTTCACTCGAGCGGAAAATTTTCCCCCACCACACACCACCCACCGGGTGCACTTGGAGGAGGAGGGACTAAGGGACCCATAGGGGCAGACCTTGCTGCGCGCCACCCCACATACTTATGGGGGCAGTAGGCTGGTGTACATGCATTGAGAGGTAGACTTCTGAAGTCCCATTCTAGAGTTCTCTTGAGCGGAAGTTGGAAGTGGTGGTCGTGGAGGCCCCCCCCCCCCCAAACCTTCCTGCCGTCCCACAGAACACGCCGGCACCCACTTCACTAACCTAGTAACCTTTCGTACTTCACACAAAACGCATTCGTTTCACATTATTGCAGAGTGTAGGAGCTCTTCTCAGTGCGAAGCGGTTCAACTCCCCGTTGCATTGGTATGGGCAGGCCTGCGCGGTGGGGCCGCACCCTCCCTCGTGCCCAGCCTGCACAACGCCACCCTTCCCTGCTCTGACCCGCCTCCCTCCCGCCGCCGCACACCCCGCGGGCGGCCTAAGGCCGCCAGGGAGGGATCCAGGACGGGGCGGAGAGGGGGGGAGATGCACAGAGGGTCAGAGCGCGCGGCCGTGCACCTCCTGGCCTCCTCTGCAGCCTTGGTACTTTTTATTCAGTATTCATTAGATATCGATCGCTATGAAGGGCGAATTAATTTATGCGGGAGGGGGTGGGGTGCGGGCGCGGCG